CTCCAGGGATCTACCTGCTTCTCTTCCCCTAGTGCTGAGATTACAGGCATGTGCCACGTGACCTGGATCTCTATGTGGGTGTCAGGGATTCAGACTTGGACTCTCGTGCTTATGCCGGAAGCTCATTGCCCACTATTTAAGTCAGGAATTTTTGAATAGTGTTTTATTTAAAATACATATTCTTGGCCCCACACAATAAGCCACAATTCCTTCAAGGATATCTTAAAGATTCTTTATTTTCTGGAGTTCGACATAAAGACTGAATCTCTGACTATGAGTGTACTGTACTCACTGAAAGAGGCATAACATTGGCTGTGGGCAGAGGAGAACAGCTTGCAATTATTCTTAAAACAGGTGCTGCTTGTCTAGAGTCTGCCCATTACTGGTTATTGGATGTTGTATAATCATTTAACCTTCATGAACATTTGTTCTCTCATGCTTATCCATCAAAGATGTTACCGGAAAGAGATGCTGGATCACACAGGATCACCTTTTCGTTTGTATGCTTGTACAGGAAAGTATCATAGCATTCTTTTATGGTTACAGTTGCTGTATTTGAATAAGACCCAAGCTGACCTGACAGAGTCACCCTCCCTTTCCATCCATCATGTCAAACATTTTCATAATCACCCAGGTATCAAATAGGAAGTGCCTTATAGGGTAAGGTTGGGGAAGAAAGGAAGCAGGAAAGGCTCTGAGTGGGCAGTGATGTTTTAGGTCTGAATGAGATTCATGTTACTCAGGATCCATAGTGGGAAGTGTTCAACAGGACAATTCAACAGGGCAGCAGGATGGCACATGGGTGGGGAAAGTCAATTGTAACAAAACAGATTGACGACAAATAATTTCCCTGGGCTCCTTGTAATCAAGATCAAAAAGCCATCAAGACAACACATTGAACATAAAATGATCATGGACACTGCAGGGGGACCAGGAAGCTTAGCCAGGGCTGAACAAGGTCCAGAGAAGGACATTTTCTGCACCTCCTTCTCAGTGAGGGCAAGACTTCCTCAGGGCAGTGAGTCTGGGTTTGGGTCTTTTAAAGTATCTTGTTAAAAGTCAAATTAGAAGACAAGGGCACATGAGAACACGTTTTTGCACAATCTAACTTACGATCAGAACGCCAAAGGCTCTGAAGGAGAAAGTCTACTACTCTTCATTTCTGAGGCGTGGGCCCAAAATTTCAGCATTATGGGGTCATTCGGGTTGTCGGTCAGCTGACTGGACAAATACAAGAAAGGAAATGTATGGCGCAAGAAAGGGAAATAATGTCAGTGTCATGGGGTCACTTGACTTGCCAGTCAGTGACACAAGAAAGAGGTCTTTCCTATACACTCTTTATCTAAAGAGCTACCAGCCTTCCCCTTCCCCAGCCTTCTGCAGATCTCTGCAGGTCTCTGTAGAGTGCTCTGTAATGAGTCAGGGACTGGGATAGGCATAAGAAGCAGGATAAGACAGATGTGTTCCCACCATCAGGAAGCACAGAGTAGCTGTCTACTCTGGCAGGAACAACTGTGACCTCGGTGATGTTTCTTCTCTCTCTCTTTACAATGTGAGCACAGCTCCTGTCGTCGAGAGGAAGAGTCTTTGCTCGAGTCATTCAAGTCCAGGCTGATGAATCATTTGAGCTATGGTAAGCATGGATTTAACTTTGTGTCATTACCTTTAAGAATTATGAGTGTTTGTGTGTGGGGGGTGTGTGGTGTGTGTGTGTGTGTGTGTGTGTGTGTGTGTGGTGTGTATGCATGCAGAAGCCTGAGGTTGATGCTGAGAGACTTCCTGGATCACTTTTCATCTTGTTGAGGTAGGGTCTCTCCTTAGAACCTAGAGCTCACTAACGTGGCTGGTTTCCTTACTGAGTTCTCTCTAGGAATACCCCGCCTGCCTTGCATTGCAACCACTGGCAGGCTGCCCCACCCCACCCCCACCTCGTGGTCACTTGGGCTCTGGATTGCTGAACTCTGGTCCCCTTGCCTGTGCAGCAATACTGTTGCCACTGAATCGTCTCCCCAGGACTCTTTGTGTGTGTCTATTTCTGTCACCAGGCCTGAAGGGGCGAGGTCTCTTTTTCTCTCCCTCAAAACCCGTGGCCAGGATGAAGACAAGCTGGAAGGAGCATTGTATCATCTGTGGAACCAGCCATTCCTGCTGTGGCCACCTTAGACCAGGTGACTGACAGCCAGGTTGGTGGCTGGCTTGAGTGAAAACAGCTAGAACTCAAAAGCACAAGCAGGCTGGCCTGGCCCAAATTATGTTGCATCATGCAGCTGTAGTCTGCATAGATGTTTGCTTCTAGCCTCTAGGTTTTGGAATATTTTGTTTGCCTTTAACTAGAACGTGTGACTCCGAATTTATGCTGGGCATAGAACGTTCTTGTATGGTTTATCTAATTACCTTGAGAACTGCCACCTCGTCCCTTCGCTTTGCGCTGTGTGGACATGGCCTCAGTGCACAGCTGTCAGAAGACAGACACCCTGGGGAGGTTTGGCATTGGATCTCTGATCTGCAGAATAGGAAGTTGACTAAAGGGCTTGACGTGTGACACGTGGAATATGATAGATATTTTGGGAGAAAACACAAATAGACAACACATAATAAACATTGATAACCACGACAAACTTGTAATGTGTCTAACTGAAAAGTTCGCGTGAATCCAGTTAGACTTGTTTCCTAACAGGATGGGTCCTATTTAAAACAAAGGAATGAATAAACACGAAACCCACGGTAACGCTACACCTGCCTGTCTGATTTCCCCTCCGAGCTAATCGAATGATTCCCATTGGCAGAGCCGTGTAGTCTAACTCCTCCTCCTTTAGGTCCAATCTGAATAGATGATGGAGACATCCACCACAGGATTTTCCATTTGCCTCAACCATCCACCCCTGACTCCCTCAACCCTAAAGAAAGACACAACAGTGGAGACTGGTGTAAAAGGATCTTTGATTTCTGTTAATTTTCAAATATGTCAGGCTGTTTCTGCTCCTCGCAGCTTGTAACTCCTCTTCTCTGGCCAGCTCTTCCAGCTGGGTCTTTGGCAAGCAGCCAGTCCCAGGCTGAAGCGCTTTCTCTGTTATCTACCGCTGCCGCCCACTCCACAGAGGCAGCCGTAACGATAAGTGCTAATTGGATGTATTTTTAAAAGCAAACCTTTTAGTGACTTATGACAGAACTTCTCCAATTAACTTCCCGTCTACTCTCTGGCGGTGCAGGAACCGCATTGATGTGCAGACCCTGCGTTTAGAAGGGGGTTTAAGGCGGCACTGGAGAAGCTGAAGGGCAAATGTGTTTAAGTCTGGGGTGTGCTGGGGCCAAGGTGGGTGGAGAGGGCTGTACTTCCGGTAGAAGGTCAGGCGAACCAGGCAGGGTAGCAAGGCCACCAAGAAGCCACGCCCCTTGTAACAGGGAAGACTCATCCTGGCACTTGGTGGGTAGGAGAAAAGTTCAATCTTTCTTAGTCTCACCCTTTTCTCTAACGAAGGCGAACTATTTTAACGCAAAGGATTTCAAGTTCATCTTAGGATGGATAGTTTCAAATTGAATTCTCTAATATGTTACCCCTGGGTTGGAGGAAAAAAAAAAATCGATTTAAATCCTTACCCTTTTAAAATGACAGGCAAGAATTTGAAAGCCACTAAAAAGGGGGAGCTGCTTGGAGAAAGGAAAAGGTTATATGCTGGTGCGGATAACAATGAGGGGGTGGGGGAGCAGAAGAGGAACCCGTTCCTTACTGGCCTCGATTTCTGAGCGGGAAGCAGTGAGACAAGTTTGTCAATAATTGCCTTTGGGCTGGACATGAATCTGCCATCATTACCACATGCTCGCCAGAGGTATTGCGGATCCGTGTCTCCTCAGGCAGGTTCACCTAGGTTGTGTTACATAAATCTGAGGCGACTTAGAAGGACTGAGGGGCAGGCCATAGCTGGGGTAAAAAGGAACAGTGAGAGATGGTGTGATGAAGACGCAGCAAGTGGGAGCAGCTACCCGTGGGGTAGGAAGCCTCCCTCCGCTGCACCCTAGTCTTAGGGTGTGAAGCTGCTGTCCTCTGAGCTCTGCCTCTTGATAACCGGATCTTGACCCAGAGTTTTGACCACACCATTTACTTCATAGGAGGCTTGAATTTTAACTCCGTGCTATAAAATTATATTCACTATGGTTTTTAGGTGTGGGAAGTACTTTGGAATATTTATTTAGGTTACTATTAATAACTAAGTCATATTTGTACTGAGTTTTTAGGCTAGATGTCAAATTATTGCAAAGCAGTGAATTAGGCAGTTTTAAGAGCATTAAAGACAGGATTCTCCCCCCCCCCTCTTTGTTTATTCCTTGTATGGTTACAATATTGAGAGCAAATCTTGGATTTCCTGGGACTCTCCTGGACATAGTAATACATGCCCAAACATCTAATCACTCTTAAATAATTTTCAAATAGCAGAGAACATGTTTAAAATTAATTTCAACATAGTTGTTAGGTGATATGCTGCTGATGGCTCTAGCTCTTAGACTGTAGAATCTACAAAACAAAAACTTAAATATATTTTTTTCTCTCTTTTGCTACTATCTTGTACCTATGACCACAATGGACAAGGCTATTTAACTACTGACTTGGGGTGGGGTTGGTTTTTAAACAATAGGGATTTTACAGAAATATTATTGGACCATGGAAGGTTTCTGTATGAAACAAGGACTCCGGAGTGGGTTGATTCCTACAATGTACTAAAGCCATTGATTTTGCCAAGAAGGCAAGGCTCTGAGGATAGTAACTCTCAGCAGTGTGGTAGATTGTTAGCCATCATGCCTTTATAGCTAAATGAACAGGAGCAAGCATGTCACGCAAATTTATGTTGTGCATCTTCCTGACAATACAGTTTGGTCTCCTCCTCCCTCCGTTCTTGGATGTGGCCTCAATTCCCCGGTAACTGACCTTCTAAAGGATTTAAATCTCAGACTGGTACCAGGTGCTGCATTTTTATATCTTAAACATAATTCTAGAAAGCAGGTACCTGATGGTTAGTTCGATCCACTGTATTGGCCGTGGAGGGGTGCTCCCTAGTGTTCTGGCGGATTCGGGTGGAGTTCTGCTGTTCGATCGTGGAGGAGGTTGGGATGCAGAATTCTCTGAAGCATCGTTTGAAGTTTTCATCCAGGAACGCGTAAAGAACTGGGTTCAGGCAGCTGTTTGTGTAACCCAAAGCAATGCAGAAGTGCCAGGAAACCGTCTGAAAAGTGGTTTCTGGGATCGTGATCAGCGCTTTGATGATGACGTAGATGTGGATGGGGGTCCAGCAGACGATGAACACAGCCACGACCACCAGCACCATCCTGGTGATCCTGCGCAGGTTCCTGTCCTTTTCTTTGGAGCCCGACAGCATGCGGACGCTCTTGAGTCGTAAGATCATCAGTCCGTAACACACGGTGATGATGAGGACTGGCATGATGAAGGCGAAGATGAAGACACAGATTTTGAGCAGATTCTCCCAGTACCAGGTGGGGTGGGAGAACGTGAGGGTGCAATCTATGGACCCTGGAAGAAAAGAATTTTCAAGAAAAATAAGCGGCGGCATTTAGTTGTATCTTCCAGTACTGAAATTGCTCCTTTGCCTACTAATATCTTTGACCTGTGCCAGGCGAACATTGTTTCTTACAGTCTGGTACAGAAGGAATTAAAGAAATTAAGGAAGAAACCTATCCACTGATTTACAAAGAAGTCACTTTCTTTTTTTCTCTTCTTCTTCCTACATTTTCCATTTCTCTGCCTGCTTGAATCACATTAAGGTTTTTATGAAGTGAGAAGTTATGTACATTTCACAATGAATCAGACACCTTGTGAGATTTATGCTGTTATATAAAAGATGTAACCATTGTCCAAGGTTTCTAGGGACTTCTGCTAATGGACGCTTCCTCGGCACTTCTGGGTAGCAGCGGCTGTTACATCAGAAAAGGCAAATTTGTCAGTTAGACAATCACTGGAAACAAGCCTCAGTGAAACATTCTCTGGGCTTACGCTTTAATTACATTGGGGAAAGCTATGTTCCTATTTATTCAGCCCTTTGATGAAGTAAGTACAAAGGAATCAAGAATAAGTAGATTTTGATGTTATTAAAATACCTAGAAGGCTTCTAATTACAGGAAATTTTTTTCATTTCAAAAAACTTAAAGGCATTTTCTTGATTCAAAGTACAGTTTCACAATGGACTATGAATTCTGCTTGGCTCAGGACATCACCAACACTTCAGACTACAAGAAGCCCCACCCCTGCCTCAGGCCCATGTTAACCCTTACCATGCCTGTATTTTGTGGTTGCCATGAACATTACAGGCAGACCAATGGCGGAAGAGAGGATCCAGTTGCAGACATTGACAATTTTGGCGTTTCGGGGGGTTCGGAAATCCAGGGCCTTGACGGGGTGGCAGACAGCGATGTAGCGGTCCACGCTCATGGTGCAGAGGGTGAAGATGCTGGTGAACATGTTGTAATAATCTATGGAGATCACAACCTTGCAGAGAATCGTCCCGAAGGGCCACGTTCCCATCAGGTAGTTGACACTCTGAAAGGGCAGGGTACTGGTCGCTAAGGCATCTGCCAGGGCAAGGTTGAAAATGTAGATGTTGGTGGCAGTCTTCATTTTGGTGTATCTAGGAATCAGAAGAACAATGAGGGATTATTAGAGGTGAAAGACAAGTGGCATTCTCTTCAGGGAACGTCATGGCCAATGGAAGACCCTGAGAACAGATCCAGGACTCTTTCAACGTAATAGTTGATCTTTACAACTAAGTGTCCATGAGATAAATAGTGATTTTCCTAGTTACAAACTGTCTTTTCTATAAAAGTTATTGTAGGAAAACATGGCAGGTTTTTTTTTTTTTTTTGTGTGTGTGTGTGTGTGTGTGTGTGTGTGTGTGTGTTATTTATTTGGGACAAGATCTCATGTATACTAAATTGCCCTTGAACCTGCTATACAGCAAGGCTGGTCTTGAACTCTTGATTTTCCTATCTCTAATTTCCAAGTTTTTGTAACTTACATGTGTACTGCCATGCTTAGCTTGATATGTTTTTAGTGTGGCAGTCACTGTGACTGGTACAATTGGCATGAAGAATTACCAGATAGTGGATAACGATTCTAAACATATGAGAGAATATCTAAACATATGGATAAACTCAGGATTATTATGCACAATTGTAGCACAAGGACATGGGTTTCTCTACATGTGCATAGATATACCTCAGGCAAAATCCATGTGCCAGTCTCTATGCAGCATGAAAATGATTACTGGGATTGAACAGAACACATAAGGGACAAGGAAGCTGGAGAGCATTTCAGACACTCACATTTTGTCTAATCCTCAAGTAGGAAGATGGTGGTAGAACAAGAACTCCAGCCAAGGGGTAGAATTAAAATGGTACAATAATATTTTTGGCATGCTGAAGGATAAAATGCTACCAGGAAAAGACAGTTAGTACCAGGAGAAAGGAATACAGACAGAGGCCAGGGAGTGGAGAAGAGTGTGTGTTATGATGAACAAGCCCTCATCCAGTGACAGAGATTCAAGATTTACTTTATTTTATTTTTGCTTTATTTTTAAGGTCTCCATTGAGTTGTTACTGACATGTAAAAACGATACATAACTGAGTACAAGTTGGTAAGCTTTGACATATGTATATCAGTGAAATCACTGTCATCAGCGTCAGCGTTTGGTAAACCATTGCCTTTAGAGCCAGGTTTTCTGTGCTTCTTTTGTGACACCTGTCTGTCAGTGCGCATCCTTTGAGATGGACAGCTGTTGGGTGCTGCGGTGGCTGACTTGAACAGCTGCAAAAGAGACCTGCCAAATGTAGTACTTTCCTCGTCAGAAAGGATGCCAAACATTTCCCCCGGCAACTTCGTAAGCCTTGCCCCTTCCTTCCCAAAGCTGCCCTATCATTTCCCAAGCAACCCTGGTCTTGCTATGGTTTCTGTTACTACAGATCAATCTGCAGTTCTTAGTATTTTATGCAAATAATCATCCAGTAAATGCCCCTCTTCGTCTTGTTTCTCTCTGTGTAATTTTTTGGTGTCATCCACAGGGTTGCGCATCAAAACCCTTCCTCCTAAATTGCTAAGAAGGGTTTCATTGTGTGACTGTACCCCTATTTCTTCCTCCAGTCATTTACCAATAGGAAGTGATTGACATACAGTTTTTGGCTGCTGTCTATTAATCTATTATGAACATCCAAGTAAAAATAATGTGTGTTTTCCCCTCCTGGCTAAATATCTAGGAGTGTTGTTTGTCTTGAAAGCTTACAGAAAGTTGAATGCTGAGGTAGGAACGAGGCGCATAAACATATATAATAACAACTGTTAGATTGATGGGAGAGGAAGGGGAGGAGGTCCTTCCCTATCAGTGGACTAGGGAGGGGCACAGGAGGAGGAGAGGGAGGGTGGGTAGAACTGCGAAGAGATGAGAGAGGTCTACAGCCAGGATACAAAGTAGATAAGTTATGATAAATAATAAAAAATAAACAAATTTAAAAACAAAACAAAAAGTACGTTAGATCGATGGTGGGTGTACCTCCCATGCAGAGCTACCACAGTCTGTTTTCACGCTCAATATTTATGTGCTCACATTCTGTAATCGTGGCCCAGCTGTCCTCTGGAAAAGGACTCCTTTTCTATTCTCTATCTGAACTGTGCTGTGAAGTAGGCCCTGTTATTTGTTCAGGGCATGAAGATGTTAAGAGATGGGTGTCATAGGGAGCAGAGTCGGCCTCAGGTTTCAATAGAGCCTCTATGGTTTGGGTGTTTGTTTTATTTTATTTTATTTTTTGTGGTTCATGCATTTACAGTTTGGCCTCTGGTGTGATGATGTTTACTAGTGAGGGGGCTTTTAAGTGACAAGAGTAGCAGGAGGTCTTCAGGCTCTTGGTTGTGGTTTTGTCCTCAGAACCACAGGTCATTCTAACCCTGGTTAGTACTTGACAGAGGATTGCTATAAGAGGGCAACACTGAGCCCTCCTCTGCATCTTTCTGGGCCCTTCTGGCCTTTGGTACCTTCTTCTAGCATGAGTGGCTGTCATGACACCAGCCATGATGTCACGCTGAGAAGGGCTCTCAGAAGAGCTGCTGCTGTGACACTGGAGATTTCAGCCTCTGACAGTGTGCGCTGTATAAACCTCTTCTCCTTATATATCATCCACAGTTTTTCCATAACCGTGCAAAATGAGCTAATTAAAAAACTAGAGTGTTTTTTTTTTCATAGGAAGTTTTTTTGTTGTTTTCCCCAGAGCATATGAGTTTCTTCAGATGGGCTCAATCCTAACAGGTTTTATAGTCTATAGTTGTTGGGAAAACTCATTTGAAAAGCTCCCTGTCTGAGGAGTTTAAAGAGCATAAAAGAATGTAATATTTGAAGCAAGGTCTTTAAGATTTTTATTTACAGAAGACAGCCAGATCCTTTACATTTCAGTTTGTGCTTAGAGCTTTTGAGTCACATGAGGTTAGAAATCTAACTCATTCGGCCCCAAACAGCTGATTTCTGTGAGGTATGGTATTATAGAACCTTTGGCACAGGGGTTTAATTCAATGTTCCAAGACTGTTTAGGTCCCCGTGAACAGCAAGGGTCTGAAACTAGAATATTTCGTGGATATCACCAGGACCAACCAGCTGAGACCGTTTTCTGAGTTCCACCTTTAACACCTGATTCTTTCTTCAGACTATGCAGAGCAACTGGTGGATCTCAGATGTGAGGCTACCATGAGTCGCTTTAGAACTAAAAGGGGTTTAAGACGAAGGTAGAGACAGCCAGATAAATCAGTGTGGAGACAGATTAGTGTGATTCAGTAAAGACCATATATATATACCTGACAAGCCTTTCAACAGAAGCAAATGGGCAAAAATCAAATTGTAATAGCAATTTTAAGCTTTTAAAATCACTCACTTTGATGTTCAAGAAATTTAAACACTTTTGATGTTTTGATAAGTGGAAAGATTTTCCCCAAAGCAGAAAAAGATTTTTTTTTTTTTTTTTTTTTAGATAAGCTATCGATGACAGGCTTGTTATCCAAAGACATAGCTTATGACGTTAGTCACGCTCTAGAGAGGACCTTAAGGCAGTTTTTTGGACTCATTACACTCTCAGTTTTTTCTTTAAACTGATCTGTTCACCAGGTACTTAGAATGCATACATATTTCAGTTAAAAATCATTTTCTCCCTTAAAATGAGGTGTTTATGAAACAAAATTTGATTAGTGTTTATTGTGAAAGGAAAAGTGAGGGGAGGGCATATTAATATTTTCATTCTACAATGCATATCACAATATCATATTAAATACAGTTCATACATACACTATTACCTGTCAATTAAATAATACTAAACAAATATTAGCAAGATCTCTCCATTGGCATTTTATGGGAATATCACTATTTCTTTTTTCTTATTATGCCTGGAGATCCTTCTTCTGAAGTGAACCAGAATTTTGATCCATGCTCTACTCAAGCTTTGAGTCATATCAGTAGCTTTCTAAATATATGAAAAAGAATTACAGAGGCTGGAGTTTTGGTGAAGGCTTCGTCATTCTTCCATGGTCTTTCATCTGGAGAAATGGTCTGCTTAAGGAAGAGGCACTGCTACTCAGCAAACAAGCCTTTCGTTTTGTTCTGCTCTGACGTGGTGGTTATCACTGTTGTCATTTAAGAAAGTTAAATGAATTGTCAGAGAGCCAGTAGGAGCTGCAAGGTGCAAACAAATGAGAATTATCGAGCAGACATAGAAGCAGGCTGAAGGAGAGATTGTCTTTGCCATTCTGTTTGCTTGAATGGGTCTTGACAGAACCCTTAGATAGTAAATACAATCACTTCTCCATCCTTTTTTTTTTCAGTTTCTTACTGTGCGAAGTGAATTGAAGTAAAGTGAAAACAGTGAGGTGCCCAAAGCCAGAGTGGCATGTGGGCTGGAAGACCCTCTTCTGGACCCCAGGCCCTTCTAGGCGTTGACTGCATCTCCTTCTCTATTAGGCAGTGACCTAAGTACCTTCTATTTATCCCATTACAATTTTCATAATAAGTACTTAAAATATCTATTCTAGATGATCGATTGTGTTCTGTAAACTTAAAGGCATAACTGTGCAAAATCACTTTAAATATCATGTTCATTTTAGGATGTCAACGTTTGACCTACCAGAGTATCTGTATGAACCCAGGACTGGCTCTGGGATGAGGCATGACACAACTCTTTCACTGATATCTTCTCTGCCTTCACTGTCACATGTATATCTTTTGCTTATAAATGTCCACTCTTTGTATGTAGTTACAAAACAAACACTATTTGTTGCTACGTTCATTCTTTATGCCATTCACCCAATTATTGCTACTTTCTAAAACTTTATTGATTTTGGTTCACTAATGGTAAAAAAAAAAAAAAAAACAACTACAGTGAATCAACTACCTGCGTGGTGGTCTACCAGAGGCCTTAGCCAATCTTTCTATTTTACTTTTTGAGTTAATTCTTTGAATTGTGATGACTCTTAGTTCAGAAATAGAACTGATAGAGGAAGACCCAAAGCATGAAGCATGTATTTTTTTCAATGTGGTTTGATGCCTTTATACCATACCATGTCCTTCATGTGGCTTAACCCCTTCCCTCATTTTAGCTATTCACA